GGGATGGGGGTTTCAATACAGGTTCCCCTGCCCACTAGCCATTATGTAATTTGACATGGCACCATGAATATATTTTTACTAGTTGTACTTAATTCGATGGAGGCCCGTGGTTAGGTAACGTAAATCGTTGATATTCAGATGTAAAAGGGGTAGGACAGGAGAAGCAATCCAATCTTGTTATGAGATGACGTAATGGTTTTAAACCTCCTTGGTTGAGTTTGACACATGGTCGTATAAGTCTCATTTTTATAGCTCCTATCTGATTACATGCTTGCATTCATTGTCGATACAAGTTGAATGGCTATTTTCATTTTTTATTGAATTATGTGTTGAAGGTGGCAGATGATACTCTTTCAAATATTGGAAGGACTATAAGAAATTAGTGAAATTACCTGAAAGACCATCTTTCAGGTTACCATTTGGAATATACTCATAGACCAGCATTTGTTCCCCTTGCTCATAACAGAAACCCACCAGGCTGACAACATTCTTATGATGGATCCTTGATAGAAGCTCAATCTCAGTCTTAAACTCAAGAGCACCCTGCAATGATCCCCGTTGAGCTCTTTTGATGGCAACTAATTGGTCAGAGGCAATAGTTCCTCTATAAACCTGTCAACAAACTATAAATTCAGAATGTAGAACATTTTGGAGCTCAACTAATATTGAGAACAGAAAAATGCTGAGAATCCCATGTTAATCATCAAAATTTTGTCATGTGAGAAGGAAGGTCAAAGTAATTTTTATCCAGGGGACGAAGCAAACACATTTTGTTATCAGAAAAGAAAAAAGATTGCATGTCTGCTGCAGGGAGTTTTTAAAATAATAAAGTGAATGGGCAAAATGTTGCATTGTACTTTAGATAATAATGCAATTATATACTCTTGACAACTTATTTTTCGTGTACTTCAATATTTCATTCTCTAAAGTCACTGGCTTGTCCACATAAGAAGTTAAATAGTTCAAGATATTTCGATAATTGCCAAATAAGACCAATTCATCCAGATCTAACATCTGTCCTGTCTTCTTGTCTAGTATATGATGGTGAGTGGATTAATCAATGGTGTGAGAGTCTTAGGACAGGTTTAGGGTCTGAAACTGCAGTTTTTAACTAGGACTGGTGGTAAAGTACTAGCTGAAGTATCACATGGAGATTGAAAAAAAATTGAAAAATAGAAAGGAAACAATAAATATCTAACCTTCCCATAGCCCCCAGATCCAATAGCATTCACTTCTGCAAAATTGTTAGTACATTTCCGAAGCTCTTCAAATGAAAACCATCTAGCTCCTTTAAGTTGTGGAACACCGCCACTGCTTTCATCACGGTCCCAATTTGCTATAGTTGTACGAAAATGTTTTTTAGAGCATCTCGTATAATTTAGCTAAAAAGAGCTTTGTTTTGCAGCAAATATTGATCTTACCAAAAGGGTTGCTCTGTTGAACTGCTCGTTTTGCTTTTCTCTTTAGATGGAAAGCACAAAATCTTGCACCGAGTATTAAAAGTACAAGCACAAAAACTACCACCAACTACTGCTCCAACGATAATGCCTGTTTTAGATGGTTTTTTTGCTCCTGTAAATGCAAAAATAGGTCGATGGATGTGTAAGGCTACTCTACTCATTGCCTATTGGTTTTTAGTTGGATGGTCTAACATGATATTAGAGTTGAGTTTTGGGTGGCTAGTGGATAAAGTTTCTTACCCATTTGAATTTCAAGTATGAATATTTGTTTGTTTATTTGTTGACTCCACATGCAAGTCTGGGTCCTACATAAGTGAGGGTGTTTAAGAGATCTTGTACCCTACATTAAATAATTAAGACCGCCAAGGTTGGAGCATATACTTGAAGGGTTACTCCACCCATTACCAATTGGTTTTGAGTTGGATCCTCTAAGAGGATGTACTTCTATGTATGGATAGAAAATGATGTCTCATTGCAACAAACACCCAAAATGCTTCTACTAGTTAATATGAGATACAAGTTTACCTGCAAAGCAACAATAGCCCTCGTCAATAAAGAAGTAAGGCCCATAATTTGGAATTGGGAAAGATTGGCTGGTGAGCAGAAAACCAACTGTAGAAATTCCTGTTCTATTGAAATGATCTAGACCAGAAGGAAAGATTTGCAGTTTGATCTGAAGGTAAGAGTATAAATTGACAGTTGGATCACAAAGAGACACTGAATCCACAGGAAGTTTATTGGACAGAAAAGCTGACATCAAAGACCCCGCAAGGGTTCTGAAGTAACTTGAGTTTTCTAAATTTGAGAAGGAAATAGAAATGAAGTGTAAGGTTCCTGTGTATGGATATGCACATTTGCAATATGGACTTGATATACTGCCTGAATGGCAGACCGCAGTAGTGCAGTTATTTGTTGGTGTGCAGTTTGAAGGGTAGGATTTCTGAATTGTGCAGTATCGTTCTGCTGCTCCATTTCCCTGACAAATTGGGTTGCCCACAAGCCTGCATCGAACAATAAAATATGACCTCTAAGAGGGGATAACATGCTAACGACATTAAACACACAGCATGCACTATCCCAAAATGGAATCAATGGTGAATCAACAAAAAAATAAATTGCCTTACTTCAAGACCATATTGTAACTTGCTTTCTGTGTAAAGTCGCTAATGGAGTTGTTCTGCAAATCAACGGTCAAATTGTTGCTATAACTGTTGCCAATATCCAGTGTCCCATTAAGCTTGTTGTTGCTTAGTACC